GTTCTTGTTCGCAATTCATTTTAATTTTTTAAATTTAAATTAAATTTAATTATTATTATTAATATTTTTTTGGCTGCTCCAAGAGGCTTGTGGGATGTTAGTTCCCCCACCAGGGATCGAACCCATGCCCTTGGCAGTGAGAGCGCAGAGCCCTAACCACTGGACTGCCAGGGAATCCCCTGCAATTCACTTTATATGTACTAAATTTTATCACTTAGGGCACATCTCAGTTTGTACTTGGCACATTTTAAGTGCTCAGTAGCAGTGTGTGGCTATTGGTACCACATTTTTATCCTTTGTACCTAACTTGTTCTTTTTCCAAAGCAGTTTTTCTCTGTACTTTAAATTTTTTTTTACCATCATATGCCTGGGTTGTGTGTTTTTAAAGTATCTGTTGGGAACTACACCACTGAGTTTATCTTAAGCCAGGAAAGTTTCCTTCCATTCTTTATCTGTTCTCGCCTCCATTTTGTCTTTTTCTCCTTCTGGAATTCCTATCATTCACATGTTGTTTCTCCTGTCTCATGTTATCTCTTACTCCTCTGAATTTCATCTTTTTCCCCTCATTGTTTCTGGTTTTTTTTCTTTGTTTTGAGCTATTTCTTCCACTTGGTTTTCCAAGCCACTACCCTTTCTTTCAATTCATTCTACCTTTTCTTTCAATTCATTACTAACTTTATAAATTCAAAACTCAATTTTTAGCACTGGAAAGTTTTTTATTCTGTAATCAAGTATCTGAGAGTGCTTGTTATTTTTTCCGTTAAAATATTTACAGTTTTGTACAGTACTTCTTGTTCCCAGAAAACTGTCTGCTGTTCTAAGCCGTTGTCCGATTTGTGGTATTCTGGTGCTGGAACCCCTCTCAAGTACATTGTCATGTTCCTTTCCTCCTCTTGGCTCTGTTCTCTACCCGCCCCGCCCCCCCCTCCCCGGGGCAGTGTGCTACGGTCCCCTGAGCAGCAAACATGGAGCACAAGGAGCTACAGCTGCCTCCACTCCTATGGCAGCTGCAGGGGACCTGACAAGATGTCAGCTCTCCAGTAAGACCCAGGAGGAAGCTCTAGGCCTCCTGAAGGGGCTGTGGGCATTCATTAACACAGATGACAAAATATTTCCCTCAGTTGGGGAGAACAGATTTTTATCTTTAACACTGGAGGGTTCTTTTTCTTTCTTTTTTCTTAAAAATTAATTATTTTATTCATTTATTTTGGCTGCACCGGGCCTTAGTTGCAGCACGCAGGATTTTTAGTTGCGGCATGCAGACTTAGTTGCGGCATGCATGTGGGATCTAGTTCTCCGACCAGGGATCGAACCCCGGCCCCCTGCACTTGGATGTGCAGAGTCCTACCCACTGAACCACCAGGGAAGTCCCTGGAACCTCCAACCTGCTTTTTATGAACACCCCACCTGATACTTTTTTTTCTGTTGTAACTTTAGATCTTGATTCTTGAGTCACTAATGCAATCAATAATACAGAGCAATGATTGCTTGTTCTATGGTGGCTAATAATTTGTCCCTTGTGTTAATTTCAGTACAAGCATTATAGACATAATTTACCTAACATTACACTATTTTTGCTTTTTAGTTAACACACGTTTTGAGAAATGAACACTGAGGAAAATAGTGTAATATTACCCCAGACTTAGCTACAGTAAGCTAAAGAGCCTAATAGCTAAAAGATAATGGAAAACAGCTTTCCTGTTGCTTACAAATTATATTTTCGATGGATAAAAATGTAGTAATAGCAACGAACATTTAAAATGTCATTTACTTTAATCACCCCACCTATAGCTTCTCTTTTTTTTTAATTGAAGTTGCTTTACAATGTTGTGTTGGTTTCTGGTGTACAGCAAAGTGATTCATTTATGCATATATATTTTTTTTTTTCATATTCCTTTCCATTTATGGTTTATTACAGGATATTGAATATAGTTCCCTGTGCTATACAGTAGGACCTTGTTTATTTTATATATAGTACTTTGTATCTAAAAGCTTCTCTTTTCTTCAATAGCCTTTAGGTAGTTTTATGTGTTGAACTTGGTATGTTGTACAAATTAGGTCAGAGTTCTCACACTTGAGAGGCATGAGCTGCTTGAAAATTTAGGTACAGGTGTGTGTGTGTGGGTATACTTTTAAAAAAAGTTGATCCAGACCTACATCATATTCTCAGGTGGAGTCCCTGACAGCAAAAAATTGTTTAAGAACCACTGAATTGGGACTTTATAAAATTGCCGGGTTGGAAGAGTCTTGAGGTTTCTAATGTAGTTTCCAATAGAACAGGAAAACATCCATAACAAGTAGGAATCTGGGCTCTGCTTATATACTGTCCCATGACTGGGAATTGCTTCTTCCCCAGACCCCATGTGTGCTCCTCAAGTGGAAAAAAGATAGTAGCAGAAACGATATCTAAAATTCTCTTTTTTGAATTTAGTAAGAACTGAATATAAAGATTAAAAGGATTCACCACAAAATAAAAATATTTTTACAAAGCAGCCAACACCAAAACATATCCTGACAAGCGGCTGCATTTTAAAAACGTAAATAATTTGAACAAGTATCTGGGGGAAATAAGTAGGTAATATACAAAGGAAAAATAGAATAATATGGTCTTCTAATTTCTACTTTTTAAACCTTAGCTTTTTACCAGGGGGAGAAAGTTTAACATTTCCACCCCTGTTCATGCTTCTGATCTGTTTAAATGTCACTTCCTCAGAACCCCAATGTGAGTTAATCCCTGTTTTCTTAATTTGAGTTTTCAGAATTTGTCATACATTTGTTTGTTTCTTTATTGATTTCTTAGTCCACTGTTCTGTGGACTTAGCACAGTACCTGCATCTTGTAAGTGCACAATATTTCTGGGTTAATGAATGACTTGAAATTGGGTAAATTTTATCTACGGCACATCACTCAAATCCTTTCACATGCTTCAGTTTCCACCACAATGTTTTTGTTGCAGGGTACGTACCATCAGTTCTTCCTAAACTTGTCTCACTTCTTCCCATCCTGTCTCCATGCATCTGTTCCCATCATTCATTTTCCAGAGAGCAGCTAGACTGTTGAAAAACAAAACTCTATACTACATTCCATTTTGAAATAGTTAACTATCTTCCCTTAGAGTAAATAAAGTCCAAAATACCGAATCAGGCCTTCAGGGCTTTGGAGGATCTTACTCTGCTTCCCCCTTTCGTGGATCTCCCCACTGGCTGCAGGTGTTTTGAGGTGCTTTCTGTCTCAGCATTACACTTTCCCCTGTGTCTTCTGTACATGTTGTTCCTTCACCCGGCAGGAACCCTATCATGACTGATCAATTATTAACACTCGACTAGCCAGTTAGCCAGTGTCACCAACCAGTTAAACCAAGGAAGAACATGTAACGCTACTTAACAAATACATGCAAATAAAATAAGTGAGAAAATGGATGCCAGTCGTTTAAATTACCAAGAATGTATTTTGAAGAGGATTTTAAGAAGTGAAATAAGTGCTCGTGAAGCAGTCAAGATACTCATTTCCATAGAGATAGTCTTTCCAAAAACAAGCCAATTTTGTGGCTTAATTTTTCTTCAGAATATTGTTTTATTTCTTTTGAATGTATGAGTTTTTAGTGTCTTTCTCACTTTCTGTGGGATGGCTGGATTTTGAATTAGATAATTTTGAAGCAGATCCCAGCCATCACACCATTTCACCTACAAACAAGTATTTAAAATATCTCTAAAAATTAATTCCTTTATTTTTAAACATAACTGCAATTCTATCATATCTGACGTAAGTAAAATCAGTGTTCAGGTATCTCCTAAATTGTCTCATAAATGTTGACCAACCGGTTTGAATCAGGATCCAAATATGTCCCATGCATTGTGAATCCTTGATAATTCTGTTAAATTTCTTTTATTCAGTAAGTGCTCCCTTGGAGATATTTTGTTGAATGGCTGGCTATTGTCCTTGTTGAGTACCCACAGTCTGGCTTTGTAGGCTGCATTATCATATTCTCACCTAGAAACCATTCCTTTTCCCTGTAAATTCTGTAGTTTGTTCGTTATTTCTAGTAAATAGATTAAGACTTTTTCCTCTTAGATAATTTTATTACTAAAAGTATTAAACATACACAAAAGTAGAGACAAAAGTATGAAACTCCATGTACCCATCCCCCAGCTTCAATAATTACTAAATCATGGCCCATGTTGTTTCATCCATACTCCGACTCGCTGCAGATTATTTAGAAACAGACTCTAGGCATCAGATGTGTATCTAATGACTTTTAAAAAAAATCACAGCAGCATAGCTACAACTAAAATTTTATCATTTCTTAATGTAAAGTCAGTCACTGCTAAGATTACTGCAATTGCCTTATATCATTTGAATTGAGTCAAAAGTTAATAAAATGTAACTGCTTGTTAGGTTATGAAGTTTAAAATTGCGTGTTTTAAAATTAATCTTTTTAAAATTGTGCAAAAATATTTACATGACTAGGCTCAAATCTACAAAACATGGTACTGTATACACAAAGACGTTCTACCTTTTGTTCATTAGTTTCCATTCTGAATCCTTTCCTGCCTTTAGAGATGATTTTTTTTTAAAAATTTAAATTTAAATCGTATGGTTTCTCCTTCCACATGCTTGGTGCCGGTCACCCCTCCCCTCCCCCCGTACTCTGGACTTTTCTCCGCCCTGGCACCTCTCCTGAGAGCTCACTCAGAACGGTCTTCCTCGTTGCTTTCCTTCCCTCCTCCTCCCACTTCCTGCCTTGGCCGACCGCGCGGGCCGCACCTGCAGGACGCGTTTCCATTGGTGACATCTTGGCGGGCCCGTCGGTGGCACTTCCTCCTTTACACCCCGTGACCCACGTCCGGCTCGCCGCCCTCCCAGTCACGCGGCCTCTGCCTCCGGGACGCAGCCCCGCGCGCCGGCCTTCCGGACTCCAGGCCCCGGACCCGTCGTGGTGAGCCGCCGCGAGCGGACGACCCCCACCCACACTCCCCCCAACCCCCCGCGGCCCCGGGGGCCCCCCCCCCCCCCCCCCCCCCCCCGCGGTTCCAGGAAGCCCGGCCGGAGAACTCTTCCCCACCTCGCCGCCAACACTTCCCGCCTCCCTCTCCGGTCTGAAACCTCTTCCTGCTCCAGTGAGTCCCCCTGCCCCGGGAGCTCCCCTCCACCTCCGGGCTCGGGGAGCCTTAGCCTCGTGACCTCCTTCCCCTCCCCCCAACTCGCGCAGCCCGGGAAGCCTCTCCCCCTCCCCCCACCCGTAGCTCGCCCCGCCCCGGAAGCTCCCGCTGACCCCGCCCAGGCCCGGGGATGGGGCGTCCTGTTGTCGCGCGTTCCTGTAGGGCTTGGCCGACCCGAGACTGTCGGATCGCCCGGTGAAGGCCGAGCGAACCCCTTCACCTTGTCCCGGTGCCTCCGCCAGAGCCTGGTGTCCGGGACCCATACCGCGCTTCCCGCCGAAATCGCTCAGACGCGCCCCTGCCGGCCCGCGGTTTTGAGAGCGCACTTTCAAGCCTCGTTTGAAGCGTTTCTCCACAGCCAGTTGAGTTTCAGTTTCAGGTTAATAACAAAAGGAGATGCACCTGGTCTTTCCCCGGAATCCTCTGCGTTTTTAAGCGTCGGGTGGAATTGGGGGTCTTTTGGCTGTGAACCGCGCTTGCTTCATGAAGATAGAAATCGGTCCTGCTCCTTTCAGCGGTAAGTCTTAGGGCCAAAGAGTCAACCGCGTAATCCTGAGGCCGGGTCTCACGCGGACTGTGGTTTAAGAGGTAGAACTTTCTGAGTGATTAAGACAGCCAGAACAGTCTGAGTGCTGCCAGCTGTAGGTTAAAATTCATTTACAAATGAGGACGAAATGCTCTTCAGGCCTCACTGGGACACAAGTAAAGGGGGTGAAGCTGGGAACCCGCCGAGTTCCCGTCTCTGAAGAGAGGCGGTGCGGGTGCAGTTTAAAGCGCCCTGTGTGATCCCTAGAGAAACCTAATCAGCCGTGCGTTCAGGCGCACCCTGTTTATCTTGATTGGTTCACCTGGATCCGAACTAAATCCTGCCTAACCTGTATATTAGAGTGAGGAAGAGCATGTTCTGGAGACCGTCCCAGGAGTCCTGGGAGCCTGTTAGAAATGCTTAGTCTCGACCCCGGCCCAGATCTATTGTTTTAGGATCTGAATTTTGACAAGATCCTCGGGTGGTCCGTGTGCGCACTTAACGTCATAGTCCAGTTGCAGGTGTGTGTGTGTGTGTGGCGGGTGTGTGGCGCGCGCGTAAGATCCTTGGTTGTCCCCCCCGTTCGGTACGTTGAGTTCAGTCGGTCTCCAGTTGCAACACCCGAGAGCAGTATTTTGTTAGCCGCCGCCGCCGCCAGCAGCGATTGCAGGGTGCTGCCGGGGAGGAGGGTGGGCGACCAGTGTTCCCCCGCAGCGCTTCAACTGTGTGTGCGACGCGGTTCAGTCTCGTGAGAATCGGCTTCCTTGCTTCTGGCCGCCCCCGAGTGTGCGTGCCCGAGGAGGCGCCTCAGCCGTTGGTGTGCGGACCACACTGGAATGAGCCAGGAGCAGGGATAAACCTAGGCAGAAGGGGTTCGGCCCGTTAGGATGACTGGCTTCTACCCTTTAGATTTCACTCTTTTCTGGGAACAGAGGAGAGGGACGGTTGATGAAGCCTCTTGAAAACCCTCTTCTAGAGAATTTGAAACTGTTACTTCTTAAATTGTAATACTTTATTTACATTTATATAGGTCTTTCCCAAAAAATAGTATCTCGTGTAATAATTACAGGACGTTAATAAAGCAAGGCAGATATTACCTCTAAGACAGCAGGCTGAGAAATTAACTTGATTTTCTCAGTTCTACGTTTCTAAAACTAAGAATGTGCTTTAATTCTCAAACTAATTCGCTGGACATAAGTATTTTGGGGACAGCTTTGTCCTGTGGCTGTGGTTGATGGTACTGATGTTTTTCCTATTGAAAAGCATATTTCAACATTTCCTCCCCTCACTCTTCCTCAGTTAAAAGATTAATGTTAGATCAAATACATTAGGTCTCAAGAAGTGAAGCTATCACATAAAACTGGGAAAGAAAGTCTTGAGTATCTCCAGCCAGTCCTCCAGGGATGCTTGTAAATTGTAAATACTGTTGGAACAGGCTCTAGCAAACCACCTTTCTCTGGAGCCCATCCCTGTGAAAATCTGGCCACGCCTCTGGCCTCCCGTGCGAGTCGGCGCCGCAGCTCCTCGCCCCCCGCCCGCCCGCGGCTTCCCGGAACCGCGCTGACATTGCCCCTGCTCCATCCCGATAGTGCCTCCCGCCCTCGATATTTAAACTGCCTTAGCGCGCTCAGGTATTCGCGTATAGAACTCGCGTTTTGAGTACATCTCTCAGGGCAAGTGGGAGGGTTCCAGGCTGGTACTCTCGGCGTTACCCTAGGAAAGAGGTAAAGCGTTTCAAAGCTGGGGGCTGGCGGGCGTGCACTTTCTTGAAGGCAGCCCCGCGGTTTTGTAAACGGCCTCCCACAGCCCGGGCTTTGGCTTTTCCGGAGGAAGGGAGCCCGGAGCCCAGCCCAGCCGGGGAACCGCTGGCTCTGCTCACTCTGGGAGTGCTGGGGCACTGCGGCAAGACGGCCTTATCGCTCTTTTTTAGGACAGTTCGTTACCTGCCTGGAGTGTCTTCGACTGTGGGCATCCCCCGCTGTTCTTTAAGGTGAGCTATTTTAAGAAAAGTAATTTCTCAGTTTATAATTGATTTACTTTATTGACACAGAACACTTTCTTGTGTGAAGTAAATTTTTTTTTCACTAGCTGTAAATCTAATGTTGAGCAGAACTCCAGCTTTCTTAACTTTCTCAAGTGTTAGTTAATGTTCTAAGTACTGTAAGTCTGCAAAGAATCCAAATGTAGAGGATTCTGAGGGCAAAGATGAGGATATTGCATTACGTACATTAGAAGTATAGATAAGTGTTTTGGAAGAGTGCTCTCCTGACATTGCCTTCAGAGAAGTCACTTTATTTTTGAAACATTATTTTCTGAAACAAAAAATATTTATAATTGTTTTATATTGGGCGTTTTAAGTAGTCCTTACATGAAATGTCTGTGTTCTTTTATGTTTCCTGCTTGTCTTTTTTCCCCCTGCTTGTCTTTTTTAACCTAACCAGGCTGCCATATTCTAGAGTGGTGTTCACCCCACCTGGCCACCAGTTAATCTCTTGCTAATCTTGGGCCTGCTGTGCTGGGGGTGGGACCACAGTGACCTACGGAACAGATCAGTCTGTCCTTGCTAGGCTCTCTTGCATTTTTGAAGGATTTTAAACAAATCATGAATTTGTTTCCCTAGAATGTTGTGGGATCATAGAACTGTAAGACTTAATTTGTGGAAGGGGAAGATTTTATGGGAAAGGTGGTATATTTGAGCTGAGACCTTAAGGATTAGTGGGATTTAGCTAGACAGAAGGTTGGGGGGAGTATATTTGGAGAGATAATTACCACGTGTCACACCCAAGGCAGCAGAGAGCCTGGCACACTGCAGGCACAGAGAAATATAGGAATAAGAGGATGTATATTTTTTTAATGCAAGTGATGTGAGCGTGTGTTGCAGGTCAGAGCTGCAAGGCCTGAGCGCCCCCTTAGCCCCGTGGTTTGTGTTCCAGGCAGTGGGAAGCCACTGAGATCTTAGAACAGGAGAGTGACATAAAGTCACTTTAAAAGAGCTACAGATTAGGTTGCAGTAAGGGTTGGAAAAGTTTTAAGGATCAGATGTGAATGTGTCCTGGAAAGGGCTATTGGTGCTGGGATTAGAAAGAAAGGAAGTAGAAAGGGATATGAGGGAAGTGCACAAAGATGATGATGATTTGATAGTTCAAATCATAATGCCAAGCAGTGTGCTAGGGACTGAGAAGAGTTGTGAGAAACATTTATTGCTTGTTGGAGTCAAGAGTTACTGAATAGAATTTAGGTATGGGTTAGGAATAGGATTAGGGTGGAGAATGGGATGACCCCCAAAGAAATGATGAGCTCATTGGGATTTAAGGGCTTGGGAGTTGTTCAAGGATTACTTTAGTTTCATTCTAGAGCTTCTGGATGACAGGTAAGGCTGACCAGGGTGCTGCTATAGAAGAGTTACAGAAAAAAGGCTGTGTTCATTTGTGGTACATAGGTGGTACTATGGAGTAGAGTTTGTGTATACCAATCTTGGCCTCAGGGAGCCTGAAGCTGGGAACTTGGATTCTGGAGCCCAGAATTGGCCCTGGACATATATAAAGATCAGGTGAGGCTGCCTACAAAGCGGGGGTGGGGGGGCATAAAAGAAAGAAGGGCCAGTGATTGCATACGGTTGAGCCTTGAGGAAGGGCTCAGAGAGGCAGAGTGCCTAAGGAATTAACAGGAAAACCAAGAGCCATGGGGAGAAAGGATTTCCAGAGAGAATGGTTAAATCCTGCTGTGGGAACTGAAAAGATGGAGGTAAAAAAATGTTCCTTTCTTGCCGTGGAGGTCCTTGGCAGAGTGAGATCATGCCCTTCTTTTTATGGTGGGGGTGGGTAGAGGCCTTTTGAGGATGAGATTTTACTGAAAGGGAAAGCAAATCAGCAAGTAGCTGGAGACAGACTTGGTATCAGGGAAGGGGTATATTACAGGGTTGGTTAGAAATGAGATAATCTCCTTAATTGACAAGGAAAATAGTGTTCTGTGAAGCATTTGTGAAGATGGGGATTTCTTGGGGCAGGTGCAGTTGACAGAGCAGAGCCACAGATAACAAGCTTAGCTATGAGAAGAAGCAACTCCTTGTTTATAAATTTCTAAATCTTTTTCTAATTTGCTTCACTGTGTCTCTATTAGCAGTTTGCTTTTCTTTTTCTTAACCATTCATGCTTTCTAATTTGTTTAAATTGTGGGGTTTTTAGAAATCTGTTTTGCTCTAATAGTGTAAATACCCCATTCCATCTGGGATAGTTTTGGGATTCATCTGAGGTAGGATTCTGCTTTATATTTTTCTACATAATGACCAACGTGCCCCGGTTTTTTCAAAAGGTGGCTTTTACCTTTAACAGCTACATCTGTTACACTTGATGTGAAATGACAATTTCATGAAACAATTTCCTTGTAGTAGTGCCCGTTTTGAGCATTGATCACTAAGAATGTAGTTTGGGTCCTATCTGTATTTTTATTGTCTCTCTGTTATATGTATATTGCTATCTGATGACTCAATTCCTACTCTTCACAATACAGTCCTTTACATGGATTTGACCTTTACTCTTTTTCAGTTTGGACTCTTGGGTGTCAGATGGCACTTGCACTTCCCTGTCAGGAAGGGCACCTGTCACGCCTCTTGTACACTGAGGAGTTCATTCCCTTTGTAGTCCCTCAGTGAAACACAGCAAAGTATGTGTGTTACGTTGATCAACATGATGTGTTCTTTTTAAGATTTTTTCCTTTTTTTTTTGATGTGGACCATTTTTAAAGCCTTTATTGAATTTGTTACAATATTGCTTCTGTTTTATGTTTTTTGGGCCTCGAGGCATGTGGGATCTTTGTACCCTGACCAGGGATCGAACCCTCACCCCCTGCACTGGGAGGCGCAGTCTTAACCACTGGACAGCCAGGGAAGTCCCCATAATGTGTTTTATGATCTTCCCCCCTCCCCCGCTTTTCTTTTCTTTTCTTTTCTTTTTTGGCCGCACTGTGCTGCTTACGGGATCTTAGTTCCCCAACCAGGGATTGAACCCAGGCCATGGCAGTGAAAGTGCCGAGTCTTGAACACTGGACCACCAGAGAATTCCCAGTTGATCCTTTTTTAATATATGAAACTGAGAAGCATATAATTTGATTTTTACATTTGCATCACACTTAACTGATATTGCTGATGCACTAATCTGCTTGTTTGGATATGTCTTAATTTGACCTCACACTTAGGTTTGACAATAGGAATAATGATACTTCCTTAGGCTCTGGAAGCTATTGCTGTCTTGTATCCTTGCATCATTGTTGCTGATAAGAACACTGATTCTGGTTCACCCCAGTGTCACAGGAAATGTTATTCTGTATTGTGATTTAAAATAGCCTGTGTTTGTCACATCTTTTTGCTTCTGTAGTGTCTTGCCACAAACAAGCAAATTGGTTAAATGTAGGGCTTGTAGTTGAAGAATCACACAGGAGCTGTTTTAAATGAACCACCAAATTTCATCACAACAGATAACGTGGACTAAATAAAACAAGAAAATGCCCTGCCCAATATTTAGATTCTTCTGTGTTCAAAGTACCAGGTCACACCTACCCTCCCTTGCCTTTTACTTTAGCGATGCAACAATACAGCTCATCTGTTTTCCTGTAGTTCTGACAAGTTCTTAGTATTTCTGAATGTTGCCTCAATTCATTCTCTTGTCTTTCCTTCTAGAACTCATAGTAATTGATCATAAGAATTTGTAGATTTTGTCTTACTGATTGAAGCTTCCAGATCACTATTTTGCTCTTCAAATTTTACTCTCTATTGTTTCACTTATTTCTTTTTTTTAAGACTCCCTAATTTGTTAATTTGTTATTTTCAATCTATCTCTGAGTAATGTAACTATTTTTGGAGAGATGTAGGATTGAATCTCTGCTCATATATCTTAACATCTTTAATTTCACTCATCCTTCCTCATCTGTAAAATGGAAACTATTTACTGTATATTCTTGTTACACATATTAAATGAAAATTTATGTAAAGTAGTTTTTGCTTTCTTTTCAGCCACAAAAAGCTGCATCCAAGTTTGTTTGACGTCTGCTCTGTCAAGTGTCCATGATGTTGGGCCCCGAGGGAGGTGAAGGCTTTGTAGTCAAGCTCCGTGGCCTGCCCTGGTCCTGCTCTGTTGAGGATGTGCAGAATTTCCTCTCCGACTGCACAATTCATGATGGGGTTGCAGGCGTTCACTTTATCTACACTAGAGAAGGCAGGCAGAGTGGTGAGGCTTTTGTTGAACTTGAATCAGAAGATGATGTAAAAATGGCCCTTAAAAAAGACAGGGAAAGCATGGGACATCGGTACATTGAGGTGTTCAAGTCCCACAGAACCGAGATGGATTGGGTGTTGAAGCACAGTGGTCCAAACAGTGCTGACACCGCCAATGATGGTTTCGTGCGACTTCGAGGACTCCCGTTTGGATGCACCAAGGAAGAAATCATTCAGTTCTTCTCAGGGTTGGAAATCGTGCCAAACGGGATCACATTGCCTGTGGACCCCGAGGGCAAGATTACAGGGGAAGCCTTTGTGCAGTTTGCCTCACAGGAGTTAGCTGAGAAGGCTCTAGGGAAGCACAAGGAGAGAATAGGGCACAGGTATATTGAGGTGTTCAAGAGCAGTCAGGAAGAAGTTAGGTCATACTCGGATCCCCCTCTGAAGTTCATGTCAGTGCAGCGGCCGGGGCCCTATGACCGGCCTGGCACAGCCAGGAGGTATATCGGCATTGTCAAGCAAGCAGGCCTGGAGAGGATGAGGTCTGGTGCCTACAGTGCTGCAGGCTATGGGGGCTATGAGGAGTACAGTGGCCTCAGCGATGGCTACGGCTTCACCACCGACCTGTTTGGAAGAGACCTCAGTTACTGTCTCTCTGGGATGTATGACCAAAGGTATGGAGATGGCGAGTTCACTGTCCAGAGCACCACTGGACACTGTGTCCACATGAGAGGGCTGCCCTACAAAGCCACGGAGAACGACATTTACAACTTCTTCTCTCCACTCAACCCAGTGAGAGTCCATATTGAGATTGGCCCTGATGGAAGAGTGACCGGTGAAGCTGATGTCGAATTTGCCACTCACGAAGAAGCTGTGGCGGCCATGTCCAAAGACAGGGCTAACATGCAGCACAGATACATAGAACTTTTCTTGAATTCCACGACAGGGTCCAGCAACGGGGCATATAGCAGCCAGATGATGCAAGGCATAGGGGTGTCAACCCCGTCCACTTACAGTGGCCTTGAGAGCCAATCCGTGAGTGGCTGTTATGGGGCGGCGGCTAGCTATGGTGGCCAGAACAGCATGAGTGGATATGACTAGTTTTGTAGTAGCTTTTGAGTTATTTCATCAGATTTTCACAGGCAGCCAACAAGCAGTGAAAAGCAGTTATTACTCTAGAGGAAGCTGTGGGACCCATTTTGCACCATGAGTTTGTAAAATCTGGATTAAAAAATTACCTCTTCAGTGTTTTCTCATGCAAACTTTCTTCTAGCATGTTATATTGAGTAAACTAAAACCATTTTCAGCTTTTCTCAACATTTTGGTAGTGTACTTTCTGGAGTGATGTTATCTGAGTTAAAGTAGTTTTAAGTACGTTAAATGTGGATCTTTTACACCACATCATCGTGAACACATTGGGGAGGTGTGCTTTTTTGGAAAACTCAAGGTGCTAGATCCCTAATTCAAAGAGGAACATTTCTCATGTTTGTTCATTCTAGTTTATTTTCATTTAAAATCTTTTAGGTTAAGTTTAAGCTTTATAAAGTTAGTTTTGAAAATTGAGACACATTACTAATACTGTAGGAATTGGTGAGGCCTTGACTTAAAACTTTCTTTGTACTGTGATTTCCTTTTGGGTGTATTTTGCTAAGTGAAACTTGTTAAATTTTTTTTGTTGACTAAATTTTTTTCTTAAAATAAAAAGACTTTTTCACAATGACTGGCACAGACTATATACTCACCAAAAAATAGCAAAATGACTGGGTGGTTGAAAATTTCATTTTACTACTGTATTTCAGTGTGAATTTTAAAATTTAGCACTATGATTTCCCTTGTATTCTTAAAACGAGACTAAATTAAACATTCAGATTTAAAAACATTAAATATATGAGTGGAAATGGTGACTACAAAGTATGAAAGTAGAAGCCTACAGTCCCATCTTCCTGTGACTTGTGTTCTGTTCATCAGCCATTTGTAATGTCCTGCTGTTCCCTTCCTTTATGCCGGGTGGCACCTGTTCATAGCTAGAGATTTTTAGTTTTGTGTGCTACATACACTGAGTCATTAGCCACAATTTTTATGTTTGTTTTTTTATATAAGATGTGCTGATTTAAACAGTCTTTGTTCCACACTTAGGATTATTTCTGTAGCACACACTGCTGGGTTACAGTTACTGGTTATTGCAGGATACACATATTCTCAAGTTTGAAACCTACTTCCAAATTGTTATTAGAAAATTCTCTATCTGGCAGTTGGAAACAAGTTCCAAATTTCAGGTAGCTCTGCACACACCAATCCATCATTTTAAACTTAACACATACACCAAAACCGTCAAGACTTTAAAGTGTGAATGAAGTTTATTAAAAAGAACTTTGCTTGATAGCTATTAACTTTCCCAGCTTTATTTTTCCACTTTAATAACTATACAGTGTAGCCCAGTTACCCAAGTTTCACCAGCATTAATAGGATCTTTGTATGGTGCCTTCATTTTAAGACACTGGCCTCATTTACAGAGAAGCTGCTGTGTTAGCCAAGCCTCTGATGGTTTTATAGGTAGATTGGAGAGTCTTAGGCCTTTCCTGGCTTTTTTGGGCTTCACAACCCCACCCTGCCATTCTTCCCACTAGTGTTCTACAGACTCAGGTGGCTGGAGATAGGGCAGCAGCATAACCCAGTAATGCCAGAGGCAGAACTGGGAAGGTCAACTGAGAAGACTGGATAGCATAATTGGGGGGCAGGTGAGTTGTGCAGAGACCACGCATCTGTTCTAGGCTGTGTTCACAGTCTGCTCATCTCATGAGTGACAGTCCACTGCAGGGAAGCAAAGGCTATCTGGGTTGTGAGAAAGACCCAGAGAAACCCAGGCAGAAAACCTGGGAGTTCATGAAACCTGTGATGGCAAGGTCTAGGATGTGATTAAAAGACCAAGGCTTGGGCTTCCCTGGTGTTGCAGTGGTTGGGAGTCCGCCTGCCGAAGCAGGGGATGCGGGTTCGTGCCCCGGTCCAGGAAGATCCCACCGGCCCGTGGGCCATGGCCGCTGGACCTGCGCGTCCGGAGCGTGTGCTCCGCAACGGGGGAGGCCACAGCAGTGAGAGGCCCGCGTACCGCAAAAAAAGACCAAGGCTTAATAGGGCAGTGAAGTTTCAAGGAGTACGTTTATTCCCCGTAAATCTTTGCTAATTTTGAGGTTCAGATATGGAAGGAGTGGGCTCCAAGAACCTGGGGTGGGAAATTGGGAATGTGTTAGATGCCCTTAAATCCCACAGTGACTCAAATTTCTGGGCCAGCAGCAGTTGCTTTGGTGCCTCTTATTAGAAGAAAGACTTATCCAGAGGCATCACCTGAGGTATGTGGTTGATCAGATAATATCTGCTCTCCAAGTCTGCTGGAAGAATGAGCTGGCAAACTGCTGGTAAGCCAAATCCAGCCTGCCATATGGTTTAGTATATAGTATAACTCGTGAGCTAAGAATGGTTTCCAGTTGAGTCAATTTGGTGGCAGGAAACCCCGATTAATTAGAATCTCTCCCAAAAGAATACCATTCTTATTAGCAGACCTGTAGTACAAAATACTGCTCTTAGTGTTTTAGTTTTATCCAAAAAAAAATTTGTGAAAACTTCAAATTTCCCTTGGCCTGCAGAATTTTTACTATTTCTAGCCCCTTAAAGGAAATGACTGACTCCTGTTTCAGAAAACTAGTCTCAGGACTGAGTGTGGCACAGAAGGAAACTGCAGGGCCTGATTAGTATGTATGAACAGGAGCCGTAGCACACAAGGGGATCTTGAGGATGCTGGGCCAGAGGGTTGAGTATAAAACGATTGATGTGGGGCATCTCTTGTGACTCAGGATATAAATTCTAAGCATTCTTGGAGCCCATCCTAATCTAGAGTTGACCCTTGAAGCTTGGAGACGATGGCCTATAGGAGGAAGAGATGCTGGGTGTTGAGAAAGGGGGTTGGGGGACTCAGGTGGGCATGCTAGAGAAGATTAGTATTTAAGGCCAGAAAAAACACCAGCTAAAAGATGTTCTGGAAGGATCCAAGGACATTCCACTAAATTCGATAACGTGCTGGTGAGGTGCACCAGCATTTTGAGACATTAATGGAAGCTCTTGGCCAGGATTGGCAGTAGGAGAAAATAGGGGTAAAAGGATTCCAGAAGAGCGGAGATCAGGTGGTGGCAATCATCAGATGGTGAGGTAAGCATAATTGTCATGATGGGCACCAAAACCCAAAAGGCAGGAGGAGCCTTTACCCGGCCAGATCTGTGGTGAAGGCTGTCAGACCTCTGTGTGTCCAGGGGTCATACAGGCACAGCTCTGAGGTCTGTTATATTTATTTCCAGAACAGAGCCAGGTCTCAGTCCCAGAGACCATCAACTGGAGTGGAGGAAGGGCCTGACAGCATTGCAACAACTATGTAATAAAGATTCTATACATCTTCCTCTCTGCGGCCAGGGGTAGGAAATGACCCGAGTCTCTTATATATGCTGTTGGATAGGGGGTCTGAGTTGATACTGATACCAGGGGATCCAAAGTGCGATCATGGTCCTTCTGTTAAGATTGGGAGCATAGGAAGTCCAGGTGACATGTTCATTTCATTGTGGGTTAAACAGGTTTGCAGACCCCTTAGGTTATCTCCCTGAGTGAGTGGGAAGGGGTACCCTAGGCAGTTGACAGATACCTCACACTGGGTCCCTGGCTTGTGAAGAGTCATCATGGTAGGAAAGGCCAAGAGGAACCTCTCAGAAGGCATTCCCCATCCAAGACAGTGAACAAAGATTCTGTGATGTGTGTGCAATGTCTGGGGTTAGGGCCATGCTGAAACATAGCCCTTTTTATTTGCCTGCCTGTTCCCCAGAAAGAGCAGATGGATTCCAGCAGATAGCGAAAGACCAGGAACTTAACCGTGTAGTTGCCCCAGTCACAGCTCAGTGCTTAATGTGGCGTGTTTGCCCGGATAGATCAACAAGCCTCTGGAGCTTGGGAAGCCCCTGACCTAGCGAATATGTTCTTTTCAAACAGAGAGTCAAGCAAAAGATTTTTTTTAAATGACCTTATAACATGGACATCAGAACACATTCCCTGTCTTTTTCCAAGTGTGTATAACTCCTGTTCTCTGTTACAATACAGTCTGGAGAGACATTGATCACCTTGCCATGATCCACTATATTGATGACATGCTCATTGGTCTTGGTGAGGAGGAAGCAGTGAGTACTTGGGATGCCTTAGGAAGACACCTACCTGTGTGCTCGAGGGTGGAAGAATTCAGGGCTCTGCCATGTCAGGGACATTTTCAGGGTCTAATGGTCTTGGGCAGGGATTGGCTAACTAGGGTCCATGGGCCAAATCTGGCCTGCTGCCTGTTTTTATAATTAATGTTTTATTGGTACACAGCCATGTGCATTCATTTATTTTGTCTAGCCTGCTCTTGAGCTACACCGGCAGATAGATGAGTAGTTTCATCAGAGACCATGTGGCCCACAAAGCCTAGCAGACACTTACTCTCTGAGCCTTTATAGGAAATGTTTGCTGACCTCTGGACCTGGGCAGAACTGGAACATTTCCTCCAATGGAAAGGTCAAGATACTGCATCACCAAGAAAGAGGCATAACTGTTGGTAGGACCTTTTGGATTTGGAGAAACCTTATTTTACACTTGAAAATAGTGCTCATACCCAATTACCAGGTGACTAGAAGGCTGCCTGGATTCTGCAAGCTGCTCTGCCATCTGCTGTGAAGGACAGAGTAGGCTCCATCATCCAGGTATCTGTTCTAAATGGTTTTGTGTGGTGTCTCTGATGTCTCACTACACAGTGGCAGCTCAGCCCCTGAGTGGTAGGAATCAACACGACGTTCTCTGCAGCAGGGAGCCGTTTACTATTCAAAGCAGCTCCTGGAGGTACTGTGTTCACCCTGCACTGAGTGTTAGCAGTTGCATCAAGTCCTGAAGCTCTTCTACGGTATCTGAGTTTTGATTTTAGTTTTTGTGTAAAAATTCTTGGACATTTTGTTAGACTTGTTTCTAGGTATTTTATTATATTTTAAATGGTGTCTTTTAAATTTCTCTTGCTGAGAGTTTGTTCCTGGGACTAGAAATACAAGGATTAAAAAAAACAAAACAAAACTGGATTTTTATATTGGCCTTTGTGGTCTTGCTAAAGTCTTTTGCCTATGCTGATTTAAATGTAGATTCTTTGGATTTTCTACAAAGTCATGCCATTTGCAAATAATGACATTTTGATTAATTTCTTTCTAATCCTTATGCACTTTTTTCTTTGCCTTGTTGCAAAGAAAGGTAAGTTTATTTTTTATCATTAGGAAATGTGATGCTGAACATTTGGGGTCAGAGGGCATCTTATTGAAAGCTTTCAATAATATTCCTCCATTAAAATACTGGTTTTTGGTTGCATACCCTTTATTTAGGAGATTTCCATTTACTTAAGGTTTAGTATAAATTTATTTTTTAATCGCTAGTAAATGTTGGATTTTATTTAATACTTTTTCCTTCTTGTGTGTCTTTATTCCTTTTATCTATCTTCCAATCACCCATTCTCTTCAGCTAAGTCTAATTGGTTGTTAAACATCTGTTATGTTTAAGAACTGATGAACTTTTAGTTGTAAAATTTTCTTAATTTTTTTACATAATGTAGAAAAATTAATTTTTTCACAATTCTGGTGGCAAGAAGCCAAAATTAAGGTGCACGCAAGGCCATTCTCCCTCTGAAGTCCCTGAGGAAGAATCCTTGCCTCTTCTAGCCTCGGTGCCTGCCGGCAGTCTTGGTGTTCTTTAGCTTGCAGCTGCATTCTTCCCTCTCTGCCTGGGGTGGCACACGGCCTTCTCCCTGTGTCCAAATTGTCCTCCTTTTAGGGGGACACCAGTCATTGGATTAGGGTCCATCCTAATCCAGTATGACCTCTTTTTAAAATGATTATATCTGCAAAGATTCTATTTCCAAATAAGGTCACAGTCTCAAGTACTGGGGATTAGGAATTGAACATACCTTTTTGGAGGACACAATTTAACCAAAAACACAGGTTTAATTTTCTTCTGAAAATCTCCATATAGCTCATTCCTTGAACACATTACTGACAGTTTTTAAAGTCTGATCGTTCCAACATCTGCATTTCTGTGTTTATGTTGTCTGTCTGGCTTAAGTTTGTCTTTTATGCATGGATATTTTTGGTAGGGTACCGGATATTGTGTACTTAAGTTGTAGGCATAGGATGACTATAAGACCTATGTGTTGTTATTATCTGTGAGGGGATTGGTGGAAGGAATTCAACCAGATTTCTTAAAATTACCCTGAGAACATGAGAAGCCTAAAATGACCAATATGCATTCGGTGGGAATCATAAAACAACAATCTGAAAACAAGTAAACCTGTGAGCCCAAACTCAGAAAATTCTTCAGGTGCCAATTTGAATTTACATTATTGTAGGGGTAGGAGACCATATCAAATAAATCAGTAAAATATAAGTAGTATGTGAATTAGGGCCGAGTACAAAGAGAAGAAGCAGTGAACAGTGATGAGAGCTCACATGTTGGTGGTACAGCTATAGAGTGGCCCGGCAAAGGGCAGGGCCTAAAGGAGGAAGGGAATTGGTGATGCAGGGATGCTGGGGAATTGGGACAATGTCCAGCAGAGGGAGGGAAGCACAGTGCCCTGAGGTAAGGCTGCAACCCAAGCTGTGTTCATTAATACAACACTGCCTGGGACTACTACTCAGCAAAACAAAGTAATAAACTATTGGTTCATGTAACAATCTGGAGCTCCAGAGAATTACAGAATACTCTGATTGTATAACAGACTTTTATCCTTGATTATTTCTGAGTGCTGGGTTAGAATTTGGTTTATCTTCTAAGTGAGCTATCTCTGTAATGTTCCAGTTTTCTGTAATAAGCATGAAAGATGCTTGCATTCGGAAAAAAATAAGATAGTTTAAATAAAAAGTGGGGAGGGATACATAGTCCCCAAGAAGGTACAGTCCTTGGGGTCTCTCTCAGATAGTGATAAATACCAGAAAAGGCAGTGTAGCCTAGTCGTTCAGAAGTGGCTCAGGAGTAAGATGACCTGTGAGAACCTAGGTCTCTTATGCACGGTGGGCATAATATGAATCCACATCACATAGGCTGCTGGGAAAATCAACACGTGTGAAGTGTTTGTAACAGTGCCCATAAAGTACTAAGTGTTCAATTACCCTTTGCTTTCTCTGGTTCTTTCCTGGTCAGCCCCTCATCTAGGAGATGACAAGAGGTGGGAATTGAGACAAAGCCAGCCTCCCTACACTCCCAACCCCCTGTTCCCCAGGGAAAACAGGCCCAAGGAAGGGGTCTCTGAGGCACAGCAAGTAATTCCACACGGTGAAGCCTGGGCAGAGGCTCCTCCCGTCCTATGACTGACTACCTTTCCCACTCCCTACTCCTGGGAGGGAAGAGAGGAGAGCTTATTTCCCTTGGGAATCAGCAGCCCAACTCCAGGGCCCATGTGCCAGACTCACAGGCTAACACTGACTCCATCCTGCATGGCTCTCTCCTGCCACCTTCCCATCACAGTCCGTGACTTTTCCCAACCATGATTAACCCAGGCTCCCAGATGCCCTCCATGAGCCCCTTGCCCCAGCCTTGGTTGGACAGGTAGAATCAGCCTAAACCAACAGGCAGGAGCCTGTACTGTAGAAAGCCAGGCTCACTGACTTGACAATGACGGAGCTGCACACGTTGGGGGTATGGGGGTCGTAGGGCCCTTCGGTTGCTTATGGGACGTGAGGAAACTGGCGTTTGTTCAGGCGAAATTGGACAGGCTGTTTGGCAGGCTGAAAGTAGATCATGACTGTGTGTAGCTGGTCTCCACCGCAAAGCGGAGCTGGGAAACCAAACCGTTAAGATGGATGTGGAATATTGCGCCAGAAACCCCTCTTCCGGGGCTGGTCGCCCGGGTAGGAACTGAAGCTGAATCTCGCGTCAACGTGATTTAGGTTACCCTGGCAGCATGGGGTTTTCTTCTTACTGATTGGATTTCAAACAGCAGAGCATCTCACCGTTTGTGATGGTAGGAACCCGAGTTTCTAAAAGAAAGCAGTTGTCGGTCACTCAGAAGGGGGCGTTCTGCCAATATCGCTTCCGCGTCTGCCACTCTAGCCCCACGTAAGGCCACAGACTTTGCTTTCTTAGGCGGAGCTCATTTTTACATTCTCCAATGCAACCCATTCACACCAGCATCCTCCTGTGTCCAAGGAGGAGAGGGACATGCACCCCACTCCCCAGGACGAAAAGGCGGGGTCGGAGGCTGCCTTTGGGCGGATGACACTGCGGCGCGTCCGGGCTACGCCATTCCTTGGGATCTGCGCGCCTGCGCTCCTGCCTTCTTCCTGCCGCCGCATGCGCAGATCCGGGTCCCCCGATTGATTCCCAGCTCAGGATGGGGCAAAATTCTCCCTGCAGTGGCCGCACCGGCTTCCTCGTTGATCTCATCACTTACGTGCCAGTCACACCGACGTTCCTCTGGTCCTCAAAAGGCAAGAAACCATTGTTCCCTCTACCAGGAAAGAAGTTTGCGCAGCTGGCCCCTCCCACCATTCACCTTAGAGGATTCAGCTCAGATGTCACTTCTTGACCTGACCACATCACCCACTGCTGCCCATGCACCCAGCCGCTGCAGCACGCTTGTTTTACTTTCTTCATAGCATGTATCTGGTTCAGAATGCTGGGATCTTAAAGGCCTAAGAGGCCCCCCATAGCTCCCTGCCACACTTCCCTCACCTACCTTGGACCGTGAGTGGATGCAATTTCAGCCAGGTATCCTGAGTCCCACTCAGGTTCTTGGAGTTCCTGCTGTAGCTCTGGGCCAGCCTTGGAACTGTCCCCTCATCCTGCTTATGTGACCTATTCAAGGGCCCTAAACAGGTCTGTGATCCTCATTTTTATTTATTTAGGCCACACTGGGTCTTAGTTGCAGCACACGAGATCTTTGTTGCGGCATGCGTGTGGGATATAGTTCCCCGACCAGGGATTGAACCCGGGCCCCCTGCATTGGGAGTGCGCAGTCTTACCCACTGGACCACCAGGGAAGTTCCTGTGACCCTCGTTTTTAGATCTCAGGGCCTGGGAGGGCTGCAGACCAGGAAGTGGGGTCCTCAGCATCTAGAATCCCTTGTGCTGGCCTCCTGATTACAGCCAACAAGTCTTGGATCCACTATACTTTCCAGAGGATCTAGTACCACGCTGGGAAATGGATGGAAGGTTTGGAGCAGGGCACCATTAGAGAGCTGGCTTGAAGCAACACCAAGACAGGTGGCTGCCCCATCAGCCCAGTCCCAGACTGTGAGCCACTGCCTGGCAGGGACAGGGCAGACGTCTGCTGCCCCAGCCTGTCTCCACCCCAGGGTCTCTGCCAGTATGCCTCAGCTCCTCCCACCTTAGGATATGGAGGTTGGCAAGCGGGGTGAGGCTGCAGGATGAACAGGCTGCCCAGGTGGGAGAGCCGTTTCCCCAGCCTCACCCCGTGCATGCTGGGGCCTTTCAAGTGAGGTATTCCAGAAATGGACTTTGGACATACTGAGACCCAGATTGGCATGGATGGGTTTTGTTTCTAAAATGCACTATGCAGGGCTTGCTGGGATGTTGCTTATAGTGGGGGTCTCACGGGACATTACCTAGAGTGGGGGAAGGGTTCATGGGTTGGTCTGAGAATTTCATAGGGTTTTACTGGGGTGAGTTAGTGAAGAAATTGCTCCATTTCCTGGGCTGTGTGAGCACTCACTGAGTGAGGTGGGGTCTTAGCAGAGGGCAAACGACTGGGGATCATTCTAGGTTACAGGATGTCATGGGTATCTGGGTCATCGGGACTTACAAGGTCTCCAGGCAAGGTGTGGAAATTGTAAGGTTCTTTGATAGAACATTGAGATGTCTTGCATCATGCATGGGTGAGGCAGGAGATCAATTATCAGGAGGTCCTCAAAGTGGGGGGCATGCTGGGAATGGCTTCAGGACAGATATGTGGCCACAGGATGCATCAGCAATCTATGGGACACCCCCCCCCCCCCTGAGGGGCCTGGACTTTCCTGAGCAAGATTTCCTTGTCCCTTTCCAGCCTGCCTGTCCCTAACCAGACACACAGAAGGTCATAAGACCACAGGAGGGAGGAGAAAAGTTTAATTTAGAAATAAGCTCTGGACAGCCTCCTGAGCATAAGGGAGCCTAAGGGCCCACCCTCAGAGAGAAAGGCCATCATGAAGGGTAAAGTCCCCCAAGGGGGAGGGGACAGTATGGGAGCTGGTGCAGGAAGTGCCGTGAAGCCGGTCCTGTGCTCAGCAGGTACTGGCAGAGCCTGTGGAGAGAATGGAGGTCAGGTCTTCACAAACTGGGTCACTCCACGGACACCCCACTCAGCCTCAGGTGACCCCAAGGCAGGCTGGCTCAGGCAGTCTCAAATTATATGGCTATCCTGCCTGAGTGCCTGGAAGCCTCTCGAAGCCTGTCTCACCTGGAGTGATGAGTGGAACAGCTTTCTCGGGTAAGGAGCTGAGAAAGGAACATGTCAGATTAGCATCCTCAAGCCTCTGTCCTTTTCCCCCGCCAAGATTCCTGGTGCCACTTTACACAATACGAAGGGTCAGAGCTTTCCCTGATTTGGGGCCCTTCAGGGTTGATGATCTGTGAATGACAAATCCCACTGCAAGCCCAAGGACAGCCCGGGGGCTGTCCTCTTTCTCCAAATTGTAGGGCTTTACCGCCAAATAGCTCTGCTCTGCTCAAGGTGCACACAACAGGGCCCTGTCTCACCTGTGCTTATGATCTTGCTTGCATTTGCATTTGCCACCTGTGAAGGAAGAGACAGCCAGTTCAAAGAGCCTGGGGAGCCTGAGCCACCCCCTTCCCACCCGCTCCCCACCCCCACCCCGGCCCCGCCAGTCCCACTGCTCACTCAGGGCGAACAAGATTCCAGCGATGCACAGGAGCGCCGCACAGATCACCCCGCCCAGCTGCAGGCCTTCCCAGTCTAGAGGAGCATAGAGAGTGAGCTGGCACCAGCCTGGCTCCAGCCCAGTCGTTCAACAGATAGTTATGACCACCTGCTTGTACAGATGCACTTACATTCCAGGCAACAAGAAAGACAAGCCAGTAAGTACATCATCTAATATGTGATAGGAACAAGTGATAGGAAGAAAAAACAAGCAGAAGAGCACAGAAAAAGAATGGGCTTTGAAGAATGATCCAGGAAGGCTTTTCTGAAAGGTGGCATTTGAGCTGAGACCTGGAGCACATGAGGACTGTGTTGGGGGACAGTGCCAGGCAGAGGGAGCGGAAACCTGCTTGGGGCGTTGTCAGGCAGCAAGGAGCTGGTCCTGGGGAAGGCAAGAGAGAGTGAGTTGAAGAAAGGAGATTAGCCAGGTGCCTCTAGCCCCTTTCCCCGGAAGTCTTCCTAAACATCCTGTGGGCACCTTACCTCCTTGCTGGAATGAAGTTCTCCCAAAGACCATGTTATGAGTCGGCCTGTCACTCTTCTGGTCGATGACGACGATGACGACGACTCTGGTTCTTTAATCCCCAGTCTCAGCCCCATCCTGCCCCTCCTTCCCTGTTCCCTCAAGCCCCTTTCTGTCTACACTGGGCTCCACATCACCCCTCACCAACCCCTAGCAAAGAGGTCCAGGATAGGCAAGGGTAGGGGTGGGGGGCAAGGGATATCAGCTCTTACCATAGTAGAAGGGACTGCCTTTATCTGCAGGAAAGAAAACATGAAAAAAATAAATAAGGACCAGAGCCAGGAGGCAGGATGTGGGGTCTTAGGGCCAGCTAAGGCAGGGCCAGCAGGGCAGTTTGGGGCCTTACTCACCAACCAGGTCATTGGCTTCCAGGACGGGCAGGCCTGGGTGAGAGAAGCAGAGGGACTGGCTGTTAATTCATGGCACTGGTCTCAAAATGAATCAGCAGCCAGGACCCCAGCCTAGAGGCGCAAGGACAGCCAGCTTCGTTGGGACTCTGGGGAGGTGGGATGAAGGGGCCCTGAGGTCACCGGTTCCTTTCCTCACACCTTCCCCACCCCCAAACAGACCTGGGATTTTGTCTCCTACTTCCTGGTCTTTGTGCCTGCCCCCACCCCCACCCCCGCCCTCCGTCCCCACCCCCCAGCCCTTCCAGCAATTTCTCAGGCTTCCTGCTATTCTTTCTTACACTCAAAATGGGATGGTGTGTTGGTATCTTTTTACCCTCTCCTGAAAAGCTTTCTACACAGGGCCTGGCTAATGCTCTGCCTCCTAAAGAAGTAGGGAATGCTGTTCTCTTCACACCAACAGATGGTTAGCTCCCAACGTTCCATTAACCTGGGTAACTTTTGCAATAGCTACTTCCTACCTGTACCGTTACTTCCTTTGTGTTTCTCTTTAAGTTGACAGTTGAAATGAAAACACATTCATTCAACATCAGGCCCCCTTTGTGAGATGCTGTCCTGGTTTTCACAGCCTTGGTGGGTGGGTGGGTGAGTGACAGCAGGGTCACCTCTGGGAGGACTCACCTGCCAGCAGGAGGAGAAGGCCCCGGACCACTCCCTCCATGACACAGCGGCAGGACTAGGCTGCAGGGGAAGGGGGCAGGCTGGGGTCAGACAGCCCCGACCGGCCCCAGGCTCACGGCACTTGGTGGCACAAATCTCAAGGCTGCCCTTGCTTATGGGGTCGACTTGGAAAAGTTACTAATTTGTTTCCTTGTCTAGAGATGATAATAGTAATGCCTTGTGGAGTTAAGTGCTTAGAGCAGTGCCTGTGCATAGTAAGTGCCATATGAGGTTTTGTTAAAATCTGGTAATCAGATGCCTGACACACCATCAGGAGAGCAGGGCTGCTGTTCTAACTCAGGCTTTGGTGCCTGCCTTCCTGACCCCTGGCTTAAAGGGCTAAGGTTGTCAGGCCTCGGGCTATCCAAAGGTCTGGGCCTGGGGCACTACCAGGCTGAATTCCAAGATAGCCTCCACCTAGGGCATGCCCAGGACTCCTCTGAGTGAACAGCTGGGCAGGGGAAGCGGAGGCATTAGGGGCAGGTGCCAGGGACAGGTGCCAGAGACAGGCAAGAGCCTCCCACCTCAGCCCTGGCCAAGCCCTGCTCCAGGTAGCCCCAAATTCCACTCTCAGAGTACAGACTGCTGTTGGCAGGAAACTGCCTGTTGGGTGGGACATGGCTCCTTCTTTCTCCTTAGGGTGGGAACTATCCATATCTTCATTTACTAGTCCCTAGGGTGGCTGTGTCCCTGAGATAAGACCGCTACCAGCTTTCTGCCTATTGTTAGCCTCAGGCAGGCATAGGGGTCGTCAGTGTTCCAGACTGCAACCCCAGTTATTACGTGCCAGAGAATTCCTCTCTCAGCCACTTAACAGCTGTGTGACTCAGCTGGGTTACTTAACCTCTCTGTGCTTCAGTGCCCTGTAAAAATGAGGATAATTATAATAGCAACCTCATAAGGTTATAACTGAATTACATGAGTTACTACATGTTAAGCCTAAGAATAGCGCGTAGCACATAGTTAAGTACTGAAACGTGTTACAATAAGTAGATGTACAAGTACACGGGTCCTTTTGCCATAGGAAGGAGGAACTATTAACACGCTCCTTGGGAACATGGGGGTCTGCTGGCTCTGAGCAATTTCCAAACCTGGCCCTCCTTTGGCCAATCTGTCTCTCCCTGCCCCTTCCACCACCCTGGAATTCCTGGATCGTGAGGGTCACAACTCCACTTTACATATTCTTTGGCCAAAGACTGGCTCCTGTTTCCTCTAGCCTCCACCCCACCTTCTGTGGGCACAGACAGGCAGCCTCCAGTCCTTCAGTCCCCCAAACACACGCGCGTTACTGAGAATACTCAGGCAGCTACCACCCCTTCCTCAGACTGATACCCCCTCTGCCCCCACCCCTTTTCCTAGGAGCCCTGAAGTCCTGGTGGAAACTTGCTCACCTGAGAGCTGAGTGCAGAGAGCTGGTCTGAGGAGGCTCCTGGAGCTGCGTCCAGCCCAGGTGGGTTCCAGCTTTTTAAGCCCACAGCCCCGCCCAGGGCAACAATACTCTTGGGCCTAAGGAACTGGTCGGATTCCTTAAGATTCCTGCGGCTCCCTCTCCCCAGTGCACTCTTAAAGGAGACGGCTCACCTGCCACACCCGCCGAGCAGAGGGAGGGCCTCAGGCCTTCTCAGAGGCTAAGCAGAGGGAGGGGAGGGATGGGCCTCAGACCCGTCCTGTGAGAAGGGGGCTTTCAGTTTCTTTAGCTCACCTAGATCCTAAACGAGGGGCCCAGAAATGTGTGGAAGGGGACAAGATATTTCTGGGTACTTGGGCCAGAAGTGCGGGTTCCAGGACTTCTGGGGGGCGGGCGTTCCGGGAACATCGTGTCAGCGAGGCGGTGGGGCTGGCCTTGAGGCTCCATTCGCTTGGCCGTCGCATCGCTTTTCCTTGGACTGGGTTTCATTGGGGGGAGATCTGGGGCTGATGGGCACCCCACAGGATCGCCCACCCTCTGACCACATCCTGACAACCACTTAGCCCCTGGGGACCGGAAGCTGTAGTTAGAAGCCCCCCGCCCTGTCCTCGCTTCCTGCCTGCTGTGGGGGAGGGGGGGCGAGGGGAGGACCACTGGCCTGGGATGAAGAGTGGGCCGCCTCCCTCGGCAGACCCCCGCGCCTGCCTTGTGCACCGCTGGCCAAGCTCTTCCTGTCCCTCACCCCACCATGTGCCTTCGACCTGTGCCCTTGACGCTGGACAACCACGGGCCCCTCTATTCTGCTGTCCCGCCTCCCTGATTCCTCTCTTTTCACCCTCTTCTCCCACTGCGCAGTGACCAACTGAAGCAAGACTGTTGCCGCCCTTATTCCCAATACTGATAAATAGATTTTGATTGAATTGTTGAGTCACTGAGGATAGGAAGCCACCAGCAGCTCCCAGTGCTGGGGGTCAGAGGGCAGGACAGAGCCCTGAAAGACAGGGTGGGAAGGATTCAGGTGAGTAGGAAGCCGGAGGGCCTTCCTAGTGCAAACATGTTGCACCTCCTCACGAAAACCTTCCATGGTGCTTCCTATTTTCAAGATTCGGTTCTTGCACAGAGCTTAAGACCAGGGCTCCCGGACCAGAAAGAGCTGGGTGTGAAGCCCAGCTTGCCACTTGCTCACTGGGAGATCTCTGGCAGCTCCTTCATTATGAGCCTCAGTTCTCTCTCCTCTAAGATGGAGTAACGGGACTTCCCTGGTGGCGCAGTGGTTAAGAATCCGCCTGCCAAAGCAGGGGACACAGGTTCGAGCCCTGGTCCAGGAAGATCCCACATGCTGCGGAGCAAGCCAATGCGCCACAACTACTGAGCCTGTGCTCTAGAGCCCGTGAGCCACAACTACTGAGCCTCCGTGCCACAGCTAGTGAGCCTGCACGCCTAGAGCCCGTGCTCTGCAGCAAGAGTAGCCACCGCCATGAGAAGCCCGCGCACCGCAAAGAAGAGTAGCCCCCGCTCGCCGCAACTAGAGAAAGCCCGCGTGCAGCAACGAAGACCCAATGCAGCCAAAAATAAATAAATAAATTTATTTATTTTAAAAAATAATAAAATGGAATAACAACAGGACATACCTTTGAGGTTTGGGGTGGAGGGGCTGCAGTGGCACGGGGCCAACCCATGACCAGCCCTCAATTTGTATGTGTGGAATGAATGCTTTCCAGGCCCTGTGTGAGGAGAATTTGTGAACCTCGAGAGTCAGAAGAACCAATAATAGCACATACTTTGGAGACAAATCCAGGCTCTGTTATTTACTTGCTATGTGCACTTGAGCAACTGACTTACCCTATTCCTGCCTATTTGCTCATCCATGAAGTGGGAACGATGACTGAGCCGACTTTGAATGTTTGTTGTGATGATGACATCTGATTATGCTGCTCAGTTCACAGGGGCTGTTCTTGTAGCTGCGAATGGCCCTGATATACACACAGTAAGATCTGCAGCATGAGAGAAAGGGGGTCATCATTAGAGAGACCCCCATGGGGTAACGGTGCTCCAGAGAAGATAATGGTCTTGCTTAAGGTCACACTGTGCCATGGTAGCAGAATGGAGACTCAGCTCAAGTTTCCAGACTCCTCCGGTGGGGAATAAGCAGCAAGAAAGCAGGCATTTGAGGAAGCGGACCCTTTAAGTCCCAGGTGCTTTGGAAGGTCTCCAGGAAGTATGAAAAGGACCTCAGATACACTTCTCCAGAAGGTTCTAGCACTTTTGCCCCATCCTGAAGCTTCTGCCCTCTTTAGGGATCCTCCACTCCCACCCCTATCACCATGAGGTATTTCACCTTTAACAGGTAGAAAGAAAACTTCACCTGAGCCAGGTGGTATTGACACTGGCTCAAGATAGAGGACAGGTTGAGCCTAGGGCAGAACCAGGGAGAGAGAGCCCAGCTACCTGTGTGTGGCTTCTGCAAGCACACAACAGTAAGTCACCACCTCATCTCCCCGTTTTGCCAAAGTTCAGTATAGGTGCATCAGGGCTGAGTATTGCATCTGTCCCCTCTAAGAGGCCCCAAAGGCCAGACACACACTCAGCAGTGGGCAACAATGCCTTCCACACTGGAAGTGGCACAAGTCAGGTCCCAAGCTAATGAATTTAGCTTCTTAGATGTTAAACCCAGCACTTATAAATAGTCATGAAACTGGGTGTAGAAAATTTTAAAAGCTTTGTGTATTAAGAAGTGTCTCATTTGTTAGGAGTATTTAGGATGAACAACTGTGTTCTCAAGGTGTGATTCCTGAGGGGCTAGACTGGCAGTGAAGGCTGTTTTCAGGAAGTCACTTTCGAGGAGGGCTGGCCACTTGCCCTGCTTCTTGGGCATGCATTCCTTATCAGAATTTCTGGAGCCATCCCTTTGGGTCTGATTTCTTTTCTTTTTTGGGGGGGCTCGCCAGACAGCCTGCAGGATCTTAGTTCCCCCACCCGGGGGAAATGCCCTCGGCATTGGGAGCACGGAGTCTTAACCCCTAGATGGCCAGGGAAGCCCCTGGGTCTGATTTCTTACCTACTAGTTGGGAAAGTTGGGTGAGAGGCACTGAGACCTACAGGGAAATCAAAACTCCAATGATGAAAGGCTGGGAGGAGTGGGTGATGGAGAGCCAGCCTGAGTTGGGTGGGTGCAGATGAGAACCTAGAGGTATCAAAAAGAGAGAAAGCTGCAAGATCCAGCTCTGAACTCTCTCTTCCCCTTCTGGACTCAGTGCTGCAAATGATACAAAAGACCTTGTGTGGAAGGAGGGAAGTCTGTTGCCAGGAGTGGCCGCCTGAAAATCGGCACTCACACCCAGGACTCTCTTCTGCTCACGTCAATCACTGCCGCAGCCCCTCACACTCCCAAACGGTGCTTTTCCCCTTCTCTAAGCACTACCGATTGCTCTGCGAAGAACATAGATGCATCCTCAAAGTCATTAATTTCCCTGAGGAAAGGTAATAAAACAGGAATTATCTAAGATTGACCAGAGATAAAGGGAAGTGGATAGCATCAAGCCTGGCACATAATAGGAACATGACGTGTTTTCTTCCTAACTTACAAGATGAACTGAATGTCACAGGCATCAGTAGGAAGCTGAGATTGTCTATTTTGAAGGGTCTGGTAGAATAGGGAAAAGACCCCATTCATGAGAGAACAAGAATAGAGGGAATCTCTGCCCTCTGAGGCTTCTGCCAGTTTCTGAGACATACTGAACTCCCACCTGGACCACTTCCTGTGCTGTCTCCCTCAGGAGCCCCCTGTTCTTCTTTCCCCTCTCTCTAACATGTCCTGCAGGTCCCCCGCTGTGTGCTCAGGGTGCTGGGCTCCTTGCCCACAGGTCTGGGTCTCACTCCGTTTGAGGACCGTGGGGAAGGAGGCAGCCTAACTCTGCTCACCTGCCTACCAGTGTTAGAGCAGGAGGTGAGTGGGTGTAAGACAGGGTGCAAGGAGGGCCATCTGAAGGGTAGCGACAGTTTGAGGGATGACGGACTTTTGCCGGATCTCGGCCTTGGCTGACTCCGGCGCCCTGGGGAGGCGGCGGAAGGGGCCCTTCACGCTGCAAAGATCTAAGAGGCCTTCTAGACGAGGGGATACAGAAACGGTGTGGGGGAGTGTCTCAAGAACGGAGATATGGAGGTCTCTGCGGCAGCCACGCCCCCTCGGAGTCTGGAGTGAAGGTCTGGATCACTTTGGCCGACTCCGGCCAGAAAAGACCTCATAGGCTTCTAGGAGGCCCCTTCCAAGAAGCCATCCGTACCCACTCGCTCTCGTGCAGGCAGTGTGGGCAGGGCTTTCCTGTCGCGAAGCGGTCCCGCCCCTCTTCGTGCGGATTGGCTGCTCCAGTTCACCCGAGTACCTGTCAAGCAGCCGCCCTATTACGCCTGCGCAGCTCTTCTTCCCCCCCCCCCCCCCAACGCTGTATCCTCTTGTAATGGTTGGGGCTCTGGTTGAGTCACTTCTGGAGCCTTTGTCCACCCATTTATCCATTCGCGCTCCGTGATGGCCGCGATCTTCCGGAGGTCGTGGGCTTCAGGACCTGGGACTTTAGAGGCTGTGAGGGATAGCTGAGGTGAAGGGACAGAGCATCGGGTGAGCTCAGGAGGCCAGGGAGGAGGGGGACGAGCGGAGGAGGCGGGCCGCGTGGAGTAAGGCCAGAAAGTCGGCAGTGGACCTTGGAGGGAGGGCTTCAAGCCGGGGAGAGACATTGTTAGATTTGTATTTGAGAAAGTCCTTCGAAGAGTGAGGGTGGGAACCTGTGCATAGAGGAGAGAAGCGCAAGGGTTCACAAAACTGAGATGCCAGGCGACGTCATTTCTCTTCGACCTTTCATTCCGCTTCTGTTAGAGCTCAGAGATGCTTTCCTCCTGCCCCAAGAGTGTCTTAGCTCCCTTGTCCAACTACTGCTCATGTCTCTCAACCAGACTACTCAGCCCTCCATCTTATAATTGAAGTACCTCTTGGGCACACCTCCCAGTCAACAACTTCTGAAATAAAGCTTCCCATTGTGTCACCTCCC